CAGTCCAGGCGATTGGAGCGACCAGGTGGTGCAATACATATACAGAAAACTTAACTTACACGTCTGCAATATACACTTTTTTCACTCAATATTTTATTTACTAGCAATTTTCTATGCATTCAATAATATTTCGATACTTTTAAAAAAATGTTTGTTCACATTATCATAAAGTTTTAAAGGTCCCTTTATTATAGTATCAAACACCTAAAAAAGTTTTGGTGTAGCAAGAAGTTCTGTTTGAAAGAGGGGTGCGATTCGCTTTTTTGCGCAGTGCACCCCACGCCGCGCGCCCCCGCCCGGCGTGGGGGACAGACTCGTTCGGGTGTGATGCATCCGAGCGCTTTGGCACCCCTGCTCGGGGGGTCTAATGGGCCGGAGGAAGGGGGGGGGGGCTGGAAGTGGCATGAAATGGCAAAAAGACGACGTAAAAATAGTTGTAAGAAGAGAGCAAAAACACTTACTTGTATGCTGTCTGGCATGGCCTGACTGGGTGGCGCGGCTGGCTCCTGTCTGTCTGCATCATACATTATGCATTATTGACCTCCATTTCTCTTCTCCACATCTCGTTCCGCAGCAACTTCCCGAACATGGAGAAGCTGGAGAAGGGACCAAAGGAAATCTTTGCACCGGAAATACAGAAGGTGAGTCCGAGATGCCCGATGCAAAGTATACACTCACCCTGAGGCAAAGGGCAAGAGATGCAAAAGATAAAAACAGATTTGAAAACACCCGTCTCCTTTGTCTCTGTTAACCATCAGTAAATTGAAAAATGAAATTGGGCGCCGTACGTTATTCGCAAATTAAAGAAGTGCGTGTTTTTATTATCTATAACACCAGGATCTGCTGCTTCTGGAGGAGCAGGAGGGCTCCGTCAACTTCAAGTTCGGCGTCCTCTACACCAAGCCTCAGCAGGTCACCGACGATGAGATGTTTAGCAACGGTGAGCATCCGAAACGAAAAAACACGCGACTTAATGAAAATGAAACGATTCTTCATTATTGTTTGTATTTATCTATTTTTGCAGAAGAGGGTAGTCCAGATTTTCAACGCTTTGTCAAGCTCCTGGGCGACGAGATCAAGTTGAAGGCCTGGAAAAAGTACCGAGGCGGTCTAGATGTCAAAGGTAAGTTTCTGAAAAAATTTCGTTTAGAAGACTTTGCAGTCGCGGTAGTCACCACCATGTACAAGCATAGCGATTTCCGTTTTCTTCTTCACATTTTCTGCATTTTTTCTTTACCGGAATGCTTTATAACTGCCAGGGAACGGCTCGTAGCTGGTTTGAAAAACTGTGTTTTGCGTATCTTTCTCCAGTAACAATAATAATACAATAAATTTGCGCTGCCAGACGTTAGCGAGAGCCGTCTCTCTGTGTCGTGGTGCCCCGTACCTCCCTAGGTGCACGCGCTCGCAGGGCTTGTCACGGCAATAATAGACATGCGGTATAGGGCGGGGCGGGGCGGGGCCCAAGTGGTTGCTTGCGGTTTCACGTGAACGCCAACGCCGCCCAACGCCGTCCTCTGCTGTGGTCTCCTGGAAGCTAATGACGTTAGTTTGCAGTTGAGGCGCGCGGGCGGTGTACGGCGATGTCTGGAAATAATATTGAACGCTCCCGGGGATGGGGTGTGGGGTGGGGGAGACGGCGCGTGGTACTAAAAACAAGGCTGAAAACAATAACACATCGCATCACGCGAGGCCCACACGCTATGAAACTGTCGGCAGTGTGTGTGTGTGTGTGTGTGTGTGTGTGTGTGTGTGTGTGCGCGCGCGTGCGTGCGTGTGTGTGTGTGTGCGCGTGCGCGCGCGCGTGTGTGTGTGTGTGTGTGCCTATGCGTGTGCGTGTAAGTCATACATAACGATGCGTGTTCGCAGGCGACATGACGGGCAAGCACTCGGTGTACACCATCTACGAGGGTCACGAGATCATGTTCCACGTCTCCACCATGCTGCCCTACTCCAAGGACAACAGGCAACAGGTATTCCCGTCCGCCCTTTTCCTCACTTCCACTGCTGCCACTGTGAAAAGTTTTATCGTAAATTTACGACGTGTTTTGTAATTAATGTTTACAAAATATTTTGTAAAATTTGTGACACTTCAAACTTGCTTATCGACGAATTCCAAGTCAATCGAAAGTGCTTGTAATTTTTACAATTTTGAATCGTAATTTTACGACAGGCGTCGCAAAGAAAATTTTCCCGTAAAACCTACAACTATTTTTCACAGTGTGCAGCAGCGTCTCCGTATCCATGTTTCCTCGTTCGCACGTGGACGCGCGTCGTGTGCCTATTTTTGTAACCGTATCCGTTTCTTTTGTCGTCGTCGTCCCGGACGCCAGGTTGAGCGCAAGAGGCACATCGGCAACGACATCGTCAACATCGTCTTCCTGGACGGTGGGCCCTCCCAGATGTGCCACTTCAACCCGTCCTTCATCAAATCGCAGTTTACTCGTATCCTTTTCTTCGACCGGCCGTGTGGCTTTTTTTTCCATTCTTACAGAGAAGAAAGCGGCTTACGCGTGAGGCCCAAAAGAAGGGGAAAGGGGTGGGGGATAAAGGCAAGGGGTAGAATTGTAAGTTTTTCTGGGGAAGCCACCCCTGAGCCACCCATACAATGGGCTGGGCCTCCTGATAGACAGGACTGGTCATCTCTCTGCTGGCCCTTTCGATATATTAGGTTCTGCCAGAGTAAATGGAGTAGTGACAGGATAACGCGGCGGGGTTGTAGGAATTTTACAGCCGGAATAATCAGGAAAAATCAGGAAAAACTAAAACAAAAACACGAAAGAAACAGAACTTTTGTCAGAATGTCCTGTACTTTTCCATCCCCTTTTTTCCAAAGTTTCACTGAAAATACCGGAAAAAACGTGTGTTGTTGTTTTTTTTTTTTTTTGGGGGGGGGGGGGAGGGACTTGAACTTTTCCGGAAAATCTAAATCCCTATGGGATGGCAGTGGACTTTTCCTTATCGCCTGCCGCACAGACGTGTTCGCCCTGGTGACGCACGACGAGGAGGCGGACGCCTGGAGGCTGGCCGTGTACTCGGAGGAGTCCGTGCCGCTCTTCGGGCCGTCGCTGCCCTGCCCGCCCGTCTTCGTCAACGACGACGACTTCCGAGAGTTCCTCCTCGTCAAGAGTAAGAGTGCCTTCAATAATTTGCCTACCCTAGAAGGTCGTCAAACATTTTCCCATAAAATTTTGAAGAAAAAAGAAAATTGTTCTAATTTTTTTTTTTAAGTAAACTTGTCACTAAAGTAAATAAATGATTCTGATTTGTATTCCTCAGTGATCAATGGTGAGAAGGCGGCCTTCAACACGCCCACGTTCAGCCAGAAGCGCGAGCGCACCCTGGACATGCTCATCAAGGACCTGCACTCGGAGCACATGCCGGACGGACGGACGGTATGTCGTTGTGGGGGTGTATCTTGGGATTTAAAGTCCAGAAAGAAATGAAAAGATTGAATTTTTTTTTCAAGTAACTAAAAAAACAACCTGGAAACCTGCTAGGAAAAAACTAAGGGATATTCAAAAAAGATTGGTAAATTTCCCGGAAATAATTCTTTCAAAAATTAAAATCCATAGGTGTATCTCGGCTGGTGGTGTGGGCGACTTGTAGTACTCCACGGCCTTGCTTCTCCTTGTTGCAGACGATGCTCAACCGGCGGGCCTTCTCGGACGTGCTGCCCGACGCGCCGCGGGGCGTCAGCGGGTCGGCGTCCTCGCGCCGGAAGGAAGAGACGCGCCAGGTCAGTGACGACGGCGGCGTCCTGGAGGCGACGCGTCGCGGGTGGGGTGCACGTCGGGGGCACGTCAACGCCGCTGCCCCTGGGCCTGGAGGAGACGCGGGACGCGCGGGCGAGAGGCTGCGGCGGTGGCGCTTTGTGTGGTTGGCGCTCCGCCCCGCCCCGCCCCGCCCTGCCCCGCCCCGCTCCGCCCCGCTCCGCCCCGCCTTTGGGCCCCGCGGCGATTGGGTGACCTTAGCGGTGACCTCTCCGCACCAAAGACGTACGGCAGGGGCAGGGGCGCGGGGGCTCCGCGTGGCCTCGACTGCTGTGGTCCAAGGTGTAGGGGGCAAGGACCTGCCAGGACATCTGTATCGGGAGGCCCGCCCCGCCCCGCCCCGCCTCGCCCGTAAAGGGCGTACGCCTTACCGTGCTTCTTTCAAAAGCCGCTCGGTGCTGCGGCGGCGGCCGTGGTGGGCTGGGTCGCCCAGTTCGGTCGTCAAATGGTCGCGCCTCTTTTCATCCGCAGGCTAGCTCTGCAAATGGAAGCTAGAAAGAATGCGTGGTCAATTTGTGGCGCCATTGTAGCAGATTATGAAACGTCTTGTGCGAGAGACGTGCCGTGTAATTATAATTAACGGCAGTGTCCTTTTCGAACGAAGAGCACGGGGTTAAAACGCCTTGCCGTTTTTATCGATTGGGTGGTTCCAGTCCGGAGCGCGCGGCGCCCGGAGCAGGTGGCGGTGTGGGCGAAAAGAAGTTAGGTCCCACGTCCCACCCGGGGCTCGGGGCGGGGGCGG